TCATATGCCCCGTAAAACTGGCAAAATATTTTTTAAAGAACAATGAATCCAAAAGGAAGTGGAGAGAACATTAAATTCTGACTTCAGTTACCAAAAGAAACAATTCAGCAATGTCCTATCTTGGGAAGGAGTCCTGTGAAATCTATATTATCTTTTCAACTGTTTCTTAATGCAAGTACCAGTCACCCAAATAACCCTTCCAAAGTCAAGAGAGCGACGCTCAATGGAAAATAATTCATCTGGAATTTCATTTCTTTTCAAATGCCTGCGGGCACTTCAACCCACGTGGTCTTCTCTAAAGCCGCTCCACCGAGGGTTCTGAAACCAGGTGGGGTTCCAGTCACTGCACAAAGCAGTTCCCATGGAGACCAGTGTTCCTATTGGGGTTCTGGTAAGATGCCCATGGGCCAAGGTGCTGCGTGAGCCACCAGCAAGGAGACCAGACATGAGGAACGTGGGCACCAAATGTGGGGAGAGAGGGAGGGGTCGGGCTGAGGAGGGGCCAGGCTCCTGAACTCACCTGAGCGCCCAGACATCCCAGCGTGGACCTTCCCAGAGGCGGCCCGAGAAGCAGAGACTGTCACACACTGTCCATCCTGACCCTCAGGAGAAGGCAGAGGGGCTGACACAGCCAGACCTGGAAGGCACTTCTGGAAGGAGCCGGACGGATTAGATAAAACCCATGCTGGGCTCTGGAACCTCTAGGAAGACCCCATTTCCCCATAACCAAAGTCCCCCTCTTTCACCTTCTTTTCCATTTTTATTTTTTGAGGAAGCTTATGAGGTCTCCTCTGACCAGAATCAATGATCACTAATATGTCCTGAAACCCTGCCTGTGGATTTAAAATCCAAGCCCTGCCCTGGCGCCATTCAGTAAGAAGAGTTCTGATGAAGTCAGACCTTGGAGAGAAAGATTTCTTCCTGACACCTAACTGCTAGGGGGAGGGGAGGAGGGAGAGGAGGCAGACTGTGGCAAGGCAAGGGACGCCAGAGTGCAGGCTGGCTTCGAGAGCTGGCCAGGGAAACTAACCGTGCCCTCTGTTCTTTGTAAAATGAAGACGTGGCTTCGTTCTGCCTGTCTGGCCCCGGAAAGGCTGAGGAGGAAGACAGCCTCACCCACCTTCTCCATCCCTCACAGCCCTCCTCTCCAGGATAGATACTATCGAGGGAGGGGGGTGCAGGCGCTGCCCTCCTCTCCATCGTGCAGCCCTGCTGGTCCCTGGTTAGGTAGGAATCCCGCTTCCACCCCCGTCAGGCCCAGTGAACTCTGAGACAGAAGGGAAGTGAGAGACAGGCTTAGAATGATGCCAGATGCAAAGGGCCTCTGTACACAGTCTGAGTGAGGTGCCCGGGACACCTGCTGACCTAGCTGCTGGGGAGAATCAGGGGAAGCCAGTGTTAACCAGATGGATCCTGTCTGCTCTGCCCCTCCTGCTCGCCCTTCATCCATCCAATCCTTTCCGTTCTTCCGCCCCAATTCCTGCCCCCAGCAGCTACCCTGTCCTGATTACCCAGTCCACGGGGCTTCATCAATTATCCACATCGCTCCTTTCTCCCATTTATTAACAGCCAGCACTGCTAGTTATTGTCTTGGGTATATATAAATTGTTCCCAACTTATGCCATATATAAACTTATGGAGGTCCTCATAATTCCCCCCCAAAGTCCTACTATACACACTGGCCAGGTAATACTCATTTTCAAACAGGAAACCCAAAGCATGCAATGAACAAAATATGCTACTCATGAATTTACTTGGGAGGCCTTAAAACCAGACCCCAAGTTAAAATCAACACAAAATGCTCCGTGGACTTGGGCAAGTTCCTTGTTTGCCCTGTACCTCAGAGTCTAAGACCGCGAAGAAAGCCTGTCTGTGTCCTGAGGGGAATACAGGGACCCGGAGGCCACTGCTGACAGCGCAGAGGACAGTTAGAGGAGAACAAGCACAGGAAGCCTCCACAAGGCGTGACGGTATAAACATAAACGCAAATGAGTCTATTCTTTTTAATCCCACTCATCATGGTTGGGGCATAGGACTTTCATAAAACATGCAGGTTAACCAAAGATTCCAAGTCAAAAAGAAACTACACATCCCTGTGACTTAACTTGTTTTCAAAGAATCGGATCATATACAGCAAGCAAAACTCTCTAGTAGCTCAGGTTCCCTTCTTCTTAGTTCGGAGAGCACTCGAGGAATCAGAGCTGCCTCTGGTTGTCGTAACAGCATCCAGTGAGCAAGGCAAGTGCTAGTGCAGAAGAACCAACCTTTACTGCATTCCCATTCTTACTGTGCAGCCCATCCCATTAAAACGATGCCTCACTGAACACCAGCTGCTGTGTGGGGCTGCAGACAGGAGCAACACACCACTCCTGGCCCCAAATGCTGGTGAAGCAGCAGGGGATGGAATCTGTTCCAGGATGGAAAGTGCCACTCCAATCACAGGGAAAGAATTCAACTTGACCTTAAAAGAAGCAGGTAACCTAGTCATCTCAGTTGGTTAACCTGACAGTTCTCTGCCCTTCAGCAGAGCAGAAGACCCCACGAGCTCCAGTTTATGTGCCACCCCAGAAAAGCATCTGGACCCTCCTCCCACTCTCCACCCCTCGCCCAAGCAAGTATTTAGACACATAAATACTTTGGGACCAAGCGAGTGATCTCAATTAAGCTTTCCACAAAGAACCCCTTCCAAAGTCACTCTAACTCATTACCCAGATGCCTACATCTCTTTAAACATGACATAGTCAACAATGTCTTTCTTTTCACTCATCACCTTCTGCAATTACGCACATGTCCATACAAAATGCCCAAACCCAACACAAGGCAGCAGCACTCTCAACAACCTAAGCCTAAGTCTGGCCTGGAATTGGAAATCCAACAGGAAGTCCATTTTCCACAGCCCTTCTGTGTGTATAAAGGAGCCTGGGTGGGTGTGTGTGTGTGTGTGTGTGTGTGTGTGTGTGTGTGTACCCAAGAGTAGCACAAATACAAATGTAAGTATGCATGTACATACACATTAATACAGAGTGTAGCCATCTATACAGAAAGAGAGAGATGCAGAGAGAGAGAGAATCTTATACAAGACACGTATCTTCCTACTCCCCTTCAAGTCACCAGAGGCCCGTAAAGCTATCACCACAGAAGCCCGCACTCGGCCTGCTGACATCTGTCATTCACAAATTGACATGCTCCATCCCATCAAGAGGCAGAGGCAGACTGTTCTGGAC